CCCCCCCCCCCCCCCCCCCCCCCGCCGGCTTTATATTGATAGGTGCATAAAAGCCACCATTAGATATCGGTCGATGTAATTGGATCTTACTATCTCATAATCTAAACGCCATTTTGTCAAGACTTCCGCTCTATTTGCTGTCTGATGCTAATTGTTTGCACCTTCTCCGCTTGAGTCATCAACTAGACTGGGATGCTCAACTGTCGGTTTCTCAGCTAAGAACTCCAAGAAAACTATACTTTAAGAAATTACACAGGAACCTATTGGGCTCAACGCACGTTTTCATTTTACCTTAACCTTCACGAAAACGCTTAGAGCCACTAGAACGGACTTAAAAGAAAGTTTAAATTACACTCCAATTAACTACCCTGCGAACAGAGTCTCCTTCGATCTTCCTAGATTAGTCGGGAAGAGGAAGGACTTATCCAGGAAAGATGGAAGCGACTCTGCTAGCAGGGTACACCTTTGTGGTAAGCTAGAAATTATTGATCCAAAATAATTGGCTGAATATATTTTTTGGCTGCCAGACGTTTTGTGTCGACAATTAAAAAAGTAGTTAATCCCAGTGAAATGTAAAGAAAGCTGTGATCTTTTTTTCAATTGCAAAAATTATTTATTATTTTACAGAACCTTGATGATTTAAAATGCTTGTTTCCTCTTTGTTCTTTGTTCAGTGGAACCCAAACCCGCATTATATGTCGAAAACAACTGAGGAGCAACTTTTACTTCATTTTTTTCGCCATTTATGCAAAAACCATCTAGCTAGTCTTTTACATGCATATTACTGTCAAAATTGTTGACTTGCAGACATTGTGCCCCTAAATTAAGTCAATAATTATCCTGATAAAATTCTATAATTATTTAAAAGCATATTAAGAACGGTTTTAAATGTAATTGTTATTTCTCGTTGAAAAACTGATAACCCATGTTTTTTCCTGTTTCGTTGTGCTATTGCATAATTCGAATTTCCCAATTCTATTTCCGTTACATAAATTATCAAATATATAATGTACAAGCGCACAAGTTCAATGACGTTTCTAGATTGTCTTTACACCATGAATGTCAAATGCAGCGCGGAGGTTGATTTACTCTCCTAATAAGGAGTTACCCGCGTATAATAGGGACCTTACGATCCCTCAACGGCGATGTCCATGAAAACGTCACTGGAAAATAGACTCCGCATCCTTTCAAACCATTTCGCCATTTTTCCAAGTCGCCCTGGGAATTTAGGCTGGAACTGAAGAGAGAGGGCCGCGCCCGAGTTCAGACAGAGAAGACAGAATTTATCGCCTTGCCGTTCCCGCCCTCAAAAAACTTGAAATTGGTCATTTCACGTCGTAGTCGTGCACGGAAGGCAAAGAAATGTACAAAAAAGCGTTGCCGATACCGTTGTCGTCGCCGTTGTGAGATGGACTGGTTAGAACCCTGGATAAAATGTTTGTTCAAGTAGTCATTGTCCGCTAGAGGCCAAGGCCAATATGCACGCATAATAGCCAACTAACAACCGACAAGATCACTGTTCTTATAACTATCTCTATCTTTTTGCCATTTATGTGTAGAGACTATTGAAATAAATGCTGTCTGTATAATTTTTGTTTGAGCTTTGTGACTAAAAGTACTGAAATGTGTCTAGCGCGCCATTTTGACTCATTTTCCTGACTTAACTGACCGACTTCGGTTTTACTTTTTCAGTTATAAGTTATTGACGGCAAATGAAGCCTTCACAACGAGATTCTATTCTGTTTTATTTTAGCTTGGAGTTGCATACTCAAATATCTTTTGTTTCTGCTTGATTAGAACTCCTTGACTCCTTTTTCGGTAATGAACCTTGACGTTTCGCACAGTACAAACTGGCACTTTGATGAGCACGCTTGGCTTTTATTTCAAGACCATCAGATGTGTACCTCAGACTAAAAATTACCTTTTCTTTTTCTTAAGAAAAATTGTCCAAATCTTTGACATCTTTGGGTGTGTTGAGGCTAGCACCTTGAATCCTTGTTAATTAACTAGAACAGGCCAGTCTTCTTCAGACTTTCCTTCACTGATCGTCTTACTTCTCTGATCCTCCAGTAATAAAGAATTGGGTTCAGTGTCGAATTTAGATCAACTAAAGTCAGCGCCATCGCCCTTACAAGATATAGAGACTTGGATACTTCATGTGGTCTTTTAGGCAAAGCGTGTGCTGCAGCATATGGAAGATAACAGACTACTAAAGTTAGCTGTACACACAGCGCAGTTTTGACCGACTTCTTGTATCGCGCAAGGTTAAGCGGCTGGAGGTTTTGGCCCGGTTGTCCTTGATAGGCAGTTTTTTTGACTTTATATGAATGACAGCGAAGAAAACGAAAAATCATGGCATAAGCGTAAATAGAAGTTACCAGGCACGATAATATTATAATGTTACCATACCACCGTGTTATGAAATAATTCACAAAATAGAGTGTGGTGCCGATAATGGAAAGAAGCCACACAGCGATCAAGGTCATGCATGTTCGCTTCAAAGTTACAATCTGTTTGTATTTGAGCCCCAGCATCAGTGCTAAGCGCCTATCGATGCTTATTGCCGTAAGTGTTAGCAGAGACACTGAGCCCAATATGTAACCCGTGATGTGGCTGATGAGAGCTGAGTATCGACAGGTCGCGTTCCCCCCAAAAACTAGTGAAGTCCAATACACAGCAATGGCTGGTTCTGCAATGAGCCCAACGCAGAGGTCAGATGCTGACAGGNAGTGAAGTCCAATACACAACAATGGCTGGTTCTGCAATGAGCCCAACGCAGAGGTCAGATGCTGACAGGCAACGGAGAAGAAGTTTAGACGGCGTGTGAAGAGATGATTTCTTGTGAAGCGCAACTAGGATTAACGAGTTCCCAAGAAACGCACAGATGGACAGGAAAATGTTCAGCACAATAAGACATACAAGCGGATGTTGTATACCTTCAGCTAATTCTGGGGAACAGTATGGCACTAGAGGATTACTCAATGTGGTCTGCTTTTCATGACCGGTGAAGTTCGCAGTTGTCGTCATTTTTCTGCAAGCCGAAGACGTGCTTTGAAGCTCATTTTTCACCTTTTCACAATTACACCGGGGTTCCCCGTTCTGACTTTGAAGGTTGCAAATGAAAATGTTAAGCCGAGAGTTCTTGTTTATGACAGGAGAGTTTGACTGCAGGTGTGTTCACCTCGGCACATGCGCCAGGCTGCAGGCGCGTTGGAGCCTGATTCACAACACTTAATGGTTAGATGTAAATTTTCTGTAACTTGTTTTAATTAAGAAATATTAAAACTAGCAGCTGATTTTTTGTTCATAATTAAAATATCTTTTTTAAAGATAATAAAACAAGCAGAGCATGAAGTAAGGCATTTTGTGAACACAAAAACAAGTTTTTATTGCTTACGATCCCGGGTAAAACGTTTTTCTTTTGTGTCATATGGGAGCTGTATGGTGCCCACAACCGTGTCACGGCAAAAACAAAAACCTCACGGCAAAAACAAAATACCTCAAGGCAAACAAAACCAAAAACCCCACGGCAAAACCAAATACTTCACAGTGAGCAAAATGGCTTTGGTTTTGCCGTGGGTATTTGCTTTTGCCGTGGGGTATTTGGTTTTTGCTGTGAAGTATTTGGTTTTGCCGTGAGGTCTTTGGTTTTGCCGTGAGGTTTTTGGTTTTGTCGTGGGGTATTTTGATTTTGCCGTGAGGTTTTTGCTTTTGCCGTGAGGTTTTTACTTTTGCCGTGAGGTTTTTGGTTTTGCCGTGCGGTTTTTGGTTTTTCCGTGATAGTTGTGGGCCACCGTAGTATGAGCTGTACCGCAAGGAATGTCCTCAAGAATAAAGAATATAATCATTGTGATGAGCTTTCACTTTTAAGCACAGTGATATCCGGCTGAAAAAAAAAACCATTTACTTTCGATTCCAATTCAGTTTTAACTCCTAATTTGTTTAGAGAGAAAAAACAGTATTTATTTGGCGTGGCATCAGATTTCGTTTTTGTTCCACCCAAACCAGAATTTCAGATAACTGTCGTCTCTAAAAACACTCTGGAGAGTTATTCCCCTACGGTAGTTTTCCATATCATTTAAATAGCCGCAATTTTAATAAACAATTACAGCATATAAGAACCGATCAGGACTGACATTGCCTAGGGATTACCGCGATTAAGAAATCAGGAAGTGATATCATGGAAACTTCGCGTTGGCCATTTTTGGGTAGATAAAGTAAAAACGTGGTTACATTTAACCTGCTCATTCCTTTGTGTGGGATTTTATCTGTGCTTTCAGAAACTATCCCTCTATTCTCTTATTATGAATACAAAATTTTCAAGGGTTATGTTAGGAGAAGTCAGTAGCCTAGCCAAAAATAGGGACCAAAACTAAAGTTCCTTTTCAGCTCAAAGTTGAAACAAGGCCTGGCATTGTCGTGTCTGACAAATGATTCATAGAGTGACAGTTATCAATATGGAAAGTACTTTTTCTTCTAATTTGTTGTTGTCATCTAACTGCTATATGACACTGCGTGAGATAAAAAAAAAATGCTATGCGCTTCTATTGCACTCACTTTTGATGTCGCCAATCTGTCTGTATTGAGGCCTTTATAGTTTGGTTTAGGACAGACTACGTTAGTAATTAGTCCACGCGCGTTAAAGGTTTCGTTTTCGTTGTCACTTTTAGGGCTTTCAACAAGTTGCTCGACCCAAAAAGTTTCCCGGCCGTAATTTCTCAAAAAGTTGCTCAAAAGACAATCAAAAATTGATGTTTGTAAAGAACGTTGCTCACAAGTTGCTCGGAAAAAAAAAAAATTTGTTTTGGTCTGATGCTAAAATATGCTAGTCACTTTCGTAAAAGTGGCTCGGTGGGTGGGGCAATTAAAAAGGAGGAGCGGTCGTATGCACTTGCCGCGGATCGTGCTAATCGGGGCAATTTTTTCGCTCTTTAACAAACATGTCACTCGTTTTCCGGTCTATAATAATGTCAATGTTGTGGTTCAGTTTTGTAAACATTGATAACAAAACACCAAAGACAAAAGCGACTTGAGGTTTCCCGATATTTCGGACAGACAAGCCGTTCTTCTTTCTTAGGCCCTGTTTACAAGGATGGTGCTAGGATTACCCTAGGACTCGCCTATTTCTTCTTTTTTCACACGACGTGTTTACAAGGCAGGGAGGGTAACCCTAGCGTTAGGATAACCCCACCTGAGTGCTAGGGTTACCCTAGCAAGAGGGTTACCCTACCTGCCTTGTAAACGTTCAACTAGGGATAACTCGCCTGGCCGGGACAACTTTCCGCCGTCATGCGCGACCAGTAATCGTGCCAACTTAAACGGCATTATCTAATTTCTCAGCTTGATTATAAACATCTGAAAAATAAGAAGCTATTTTCTGTCTAGCCGCGATGATAATGTTTTCCCTTTTTTTAGAATTCAGAACGTGTTTTCCATAGAGAACTTCAAGATTATTTCAAATTTTCGGACCGTTACGAAGAATGTCACCCGAGTGATAGGGTAACCCTACCTGTGAAATTTGCTTGTAAACCAGAGCTAACTTCAACCTGCTTTCTAGAGTACCCTTAGCACAAGGGTAACCCTCTCTCCTTGTAAACAGGCCCTTAATGAAGAATCGGAAAGTCGTTTCAATATGAGAAGCAATTGGGAATTTGATACAAAAGTAGTGTTCAAATGGGCCAATAATGATTAGCCTGCGTAGCAAGCGTTTTCCGTGCGGTTTAAGAACGAGGAACGAGAGTCAAAGACCGCGCGAAAAATTGCATTTTTTGGCTCTTGTTTCATTTCTCGCGCGACCAAAACTGAGAATCCCGTTCCTCGGTCTTTCTTTGCTCCGAAACCAAACGGAAACGCTTGCTACGCAGGCTTTGCTAATTTAGATTAAAAATGGTCTCATCCCCAGACTCCTCCGGGCCAATTCTGTGGTCAGGTCGTTCCCAGATTCTGTCGTTCATCCTGGCCGAGCTGGTAACGACTCATAAAACAAAATGGCGTCTCAACGTGGTCGTATGTGCACAATATTTTTCTATAATTTTTTCTTAAAATCGGAAGTGAAGGAATAGAAATTTTAAATGATGGCTGCCTGATTATGAAAAAAATTTGAAAGGTGGGCGGGTCGCCCAGTTTTTAGCCCAAATAGTCGATAGATCGCATCAATTCTGACATTCAAGAACAGCATGTCGAAGGCGACGAAGAGAAAACACGTTACAAAAGAGGTTCTGGATGATTATGTAGTGCCAGAACCAAATCAGCAGATCGTTAAGGTAAGAAATTGTACCCGATATGAAACAGATTTCCTTGTCTCCAGTATGGGTAGCTACATCTCCAAGATAAGGCGGGTTTGGATATGTAATTTTTATTTTAAAATTTTAGTTAACTAAGCTTAATTATTAATTGATTATTTGTTATTCCTTGAATAGTTTAGCTCATTAAGCTTAGCCCACTTGGATATGCACTCTCTAAAAGGCAGACGTACATCATTCTATACTGTGAAAGAGCACAAAGGTGTATGTTAATGGAAGGCAGGTGGCTTATTTATGTGGGAGTAGTGATGGGTAAGGTGGTAAACTATAGCTAGCCATACCTCCCCTAGTCTGCTACACAGCCATTCTTTGTGTCATCATGGAGAAGCATAATTTTTGTGTGATGACTGCCCCCCCTCCCCTTCTGGCAATCAAAACAGAAGAGGGGGGGAAGTAGTACAGCTTCACGTAAGATCTTTGCGGCTGAGTAGTTTAACTGTAGCTCCATTTTGTTTCCACTCTCACAAGAGCTAGGGAAATTGTCATGCTCTATTTGGCCAACAAAGCAACACTATAGTTCCTTCACTTAAAAAAAAGACACTCGTCTTTACTAAAATACCTGTCTATACTATTCAAGATTTTAGGAAGTCGTGGTAACAACCTTCATGAGGCAGAAACACCTGATGGCAGTAAATACCTTGTCAGTATGCCATCAAAATTTAGAAAAAGTGTCTGGATTAAACGAGGTATGGCGTAAACATTAAACACAAATATTACAAAGGGTGTGAAATTTTTAGTGTCACAATCATGCAACAAAGAAAATAATATCCAAGTCCTTCAGAATCAAAGTTTTTTTGTTATTGTCATTTTAGCTCAACTAAACAAGTGCAATTGCACAATTTCTGCTTATATTATGGAGTCTGAGCTGTGACTAACATCTTTTTTTAAATGTTGCTTTCCAGGAGATTTTGTCATTGTTGATCCAATAGAGGAAGGAAACAAAGTCTGCGCTGAGATTGTTTATATTCTCTATAGCAAGCAAATAAAGTATCTGAAAAGTGAAGGCTTGTGGTAAGAGAAAAAGTCTGAATTACCAAGTGTTTACATAATATTATACAGGGCTGTCGCTAACAGCCAGGCCGGAACTGAGATTTCTACTAACTCTTTTGAGAGGAAACAAAAAGAAAATAGAACATAAAGAACTTCCAAGCTGTTTAATTTCCTGCATATATGTTGCAGTTAATTTTTTATCTCAGGTTATTTTTGTTTTTCATTTGTTTTAAATTCACTAACATATATTACCATACCCAAAAACAATGGAAAAATAAAAATTACGTGAGATATACCTGGCAACTTGGTGAAATCAGCCATAAGTGATTAAATGTTAGTACATACTTCTTTAATTTTGTACTGGTAACTAAAAACCATCCTTTTCAATTCAAAATAATGAAAATTTCCTTTCACGTCATGTATATTTTGTAGTAGTAATAATAAATTGAATAAATTAGAAGATAATAATGTAAGGTAGACCCCAACCCCCTGTTGGTATCTCACTACCACCCTAAAATAGATTAATAATTTATTCTGTTTTTAAGGCCTGAGACGTTCACAGAGAAATCCCCTGCTGATGAAAAACCACATGTTAAGCAAGGAAGCAGGTAAAAATGGTGATTACTTAAACAATGAGCTGTCTATATCAATATCAATACTTTTCTTTCTGGAAGAGCTTATTTGTAGAAAATAATATTAGTTTGCATGGTTGGTTTTACGATCACTAATGCTGCTCTTGAAGTAAATTGCTTCAAAATTAATGATCACTGCATTCTTCACCAAGGGGTCAAGGTAATGCTTAGTCTATTGAGTGTATGATGTGAGATGTATGATGTTATCTTGGTTCATATTGGTGAAAATGAATCTTATCAGTTATTTGATCCCAAAATAATAATTATTATTTTTAATAACTATTTTAATTATTATTATTATTACGACATTAATTTTCTGACAGGTCACCTTACACCCCGTGCAAACGGACACTCATCTCCTTGAGAACAAATTCAAAAAAACACTTTGCAAATTACTTTTTGATATTTTGAATTCAGAAGATGATACAATATATATGGACATGCCCAACTTAATTAAAAAGGTAAAATTAGCCCAAAATGTCGAAAAAATAAATTTTTGCTTCTTAATTTTTACTTTTACAATATACTTTTTAATTATTTCTTCATTATTGTGTTATCTAGTCCTCATCCATATTATGATTTTTGTTTCATTTATTTGTAAACTGTAAACTTTCCTTAGTTAGCCTTAGTCTTAATTTCATATTTTGCATGCATTGTCTTGCCTCGATTAGCCTTGCTAGGTGCAGGCAATGCTTCTGTAATATTATCTGTTTATTAATAAAGTTTGTTGTTGTTGTTATGATTCAACTGTTTTTTTTTTTGGTAGTAATGTGGATAGGAGGGCCAACGAAGATATCAGTGATGATGATGAAGAGGAGAATTCTGAGGACGACAATGATCTGTTTGTTAATCCAAACCACCAAAAGCCAACATGTTATGTAGACACAGACTCCTCAAGCGAAGAGAGTGACAACAACAATGAACAATGATAGCTACATTAATTTTGCACCATCAGATTTATATTAAGAAACTTATTTATTAGTTTTTTCTATAGGCAGGTTTATCAATTGTATTTTGGGATAAAGTTTCGTGATTAATCTCTTCCATCAGGTTTTTTTAAGTAAAAATATTCTATGCCTGCCACATCTGAACTTTTACGACTTGAATTAATTTCTAGGTATGAATTCTAAATTATTTTGTTTGAGAAAGTCATTGACAAGTACTTCATTTCTGTTGTTAAAAGCTTGAACTTGTGTTTTTTTGTGTGTGATGGCCCAATAGATGTAATAATTAATGTACCGGTAATAATTACTGAAAAAATTAGTACTCCTAAAAACAAGTAAGAATAAGATAGTTGATGCATGAATTACCTCAAGCCCAGTGAAGAAAGAAAGCAAACATTGTCAACAGGTTATTACAAAAATGTTTATTGGAAGCACATGACTATGTTAGATGCTTTCAACAGTTTTCATAGCAAGTAGCAAGTAGTTTAAACAGAAATAATACACAACCTGCAACAATCTGGTTAATACAAATTATTTACTGAAGGAGTGAGTTTTGACAAAATGTTTTTTTGATAGCCTTGCAATCATGTAGTAGTGAAAATAAGCAGGAATTTCACATTGATAGATAAAAAGCCTTCAAGGACCTTATTTCATGTGCCAATTCAGTTATTTCCAGTACAGTACTTTTGGGTTGGTCAAGAATGTGAGTTTCTATCAGGATTGAGAGTGAAAATTGGATGGCCTGTAAAGCTTGAGAGGCTCACATGCAAAGCAAGTGTGAATCCATGCTTTTGGTGCTAATTGAGTCTGTAATGAACCATTCTATGTATTAGAGAAACTACTGTTAGTAAGGTGCACTGTTTTGATGATCAGAGCAACATCATCACCAACAATGCACCCATTTCAGGTGTCTAAAAAATTGTGAATTTTAAGAACACAAATTTCCTGTAACCGGGTACTTTTAACCAAAAAATCTGATTATTACAACAGATTAATCCTATAACTGATACCAGATCATGCTGGAGCAATATTCTGGTCAATAAATAAAACTACAAACATGTACCCCATGAGGGTTTAGTTACTAACACAACTGAAAGAAACAATGGAGAACTGGACAGTTTATAATTTTCTTTAAATATTTCACAAAATAGTAAAAGTGTAAGTCAGAACTCCAGTAAGCCAATAACTCAAATCTTCGGTTCAACACAAAACTGATCGATTGATCACGGATACTGATTGGTTAAAATTGTGTGCAGAATATGTTGACAATCTACTAGTAGTTTAAGATAGGGCAGTGGAATTAAGATCTATGGGTAACAACAGACCAGAATTCAAAGGCTTGCCATGCTTGAATGTCTGTCTTTCGCTAGTTCGAATTATTAACCAGTCATGTGACAAGGGTCATTCCAAAATAAATTTACATCCTACTGTATGGTACTATACAGTCATTAGTCCAAGTTAACTGTTGTAATCAGTAGGTTTCAAGTCTCTGTGATCTTTTTTTTTCATGTCTTTCTGATCTTGTATTTTCCCTTCTGTAGCTGGCCTATATACAACTTTGTTTTAGATCCATCTCCTCTTCTTACCCAAACCTGAAAAAAAAGTGAATCAAAATGATTAGTCGGACAGTCAGTCCCAAACTAGTCCATTATTTAAAAGTGAAGATATAATTTCCATTTATCAGTTTACATGTCATCAATGATAACAGGAACATAACTAGTGTGTGTATGTCCAATATTATTCAAAAGCAACAATTGGCTGATGGATTAAATTTGAATCATCTACTGACTGCACCAGCACATTTTTACTGAGTGACAAAAAAGGGGGAAAAAACCTACCTCACCAGTGTTGATTCCAGTTACAAAAGCACTGAAATATAAAAAATAAAAATGTTCATAAATGTTTTTGACTTGTGAGGATACCAGTCTAGGAAAACTGCAAGAATCTTTACACAGAACTCTTAAAATTTCAAAACAGAATTTTTAATAATTATCTTGGAATAAAGATTACCCAAACCTGAAAAAAAAAGTAAATTAGTATAATAAATAATAATAAATATTATTACATTATTACAGTGTCAAGTACATGCACAAAAAAATTCTGCAACAAGCACAGAATGTACTGCAGTTTACACAACTAATATGATCTCAAGTTGCAGCAAATCAAAACAGGAAATAAAGATAAAGGTTCATCAAAAAATGTAAATTTGATAACAATTTTCAGAAGGAAGTGAAGTTCTGTTCAATAAAACTTTTTAGCTATACTTTGTTTTAACTAATCAGTCACACTTAAAGCCCTCTAGATACTACTCAGTCACACTTACAACAGCAAATATTGACTTGAAACTGCTAACAAGTAAAAATGAAGAAAAGACTTTCCACAGCTGACTCACAGCTGAGAAGACAGTAACATTTAATTTCTTACAAACCTGGAGTGGGTATCATTTCTGCTTTCTATCAGTATATGATCACCTTTGTGGAACCTTTGAGACAAAAGTGAATCAAAACACTCTAGATTAATGCAATTTCTCTATTTTGCAATGATATATTGTACTTAGTCTTGTGTTTTGAATGGGTAGAAAGACATTGCTGACACTAATAACTATTATTAACCTTAACCCTAACCCTTATTCATTCAGCTCTTGGTAAATAACAGTTCACTTTAGGCCACATACCACTCTCCTTCGTAATACAGTTTTCCATCTTCATATCTTGCACTAAAAGGACTATTCTCTAATTGGCAACCACCTACAGATACAAAAACAAAAGAAAAATTATAACACTATAAATAATAATAATACCATTATTGCATTTAGGGATATGAGAGAGCTAAAACAAGAAAGGAGAACATACTGATAGGATTAACTGTGTTACAGTTTCATCCCAGTGATCATATAGGAGGACAAAAGGTTCCCAAGGCTTTCGTTTGAAACACCCTCTCCAGCATAATTTCCAACAATTTTTTCTTGGCAAGAGTAAAGATAGAACAGCTATGAAGTTTGAACCAATAATTTAACCATGTCTTACTATTTTGCCTTCTTCTTGCCAAAGCTCCTTTGGCCTATGGAGAGTAAAAACAAAGAAATTGTTTGTAATTAATTTTAGCTTTTTAAACCTAAAACTGGTGATGAAATTGATCCAACTACACATATACCTTTCTGATAGCTGCCCAGTCTTCAAGAATGTCCATTTCTCTTAACATATAAACAATATATGGACTTACACATGGTCAAGGAAATATACTACCACATAAGTTTTTTCTGTTTATCATATGTCATAACCTGAAGGCTGACAACACCAGGGAGCTGCACAAAGAGAAGTCGGGAATATAGTACATCAAGTAGTATGCTGAGTGTGTCTTGCATAAAAGATTTGGGACCAACCTACATGTATCAGTCTTGTACCTTAGAAAACAAATTGGAGTGTAGTAATGGTAAGGAACAGATGTCCGTATTATACAGTAACTCAAAGGAATAAACAGAAAATACTGGAGAAAAAGGATATCTGTAACTGTGACTGGCTTCCTTCTTTTATCAGAAATCATTGATCCATCAGATGATTTTCTGTGTTTCTTGTTCAGTGACTGTGACTCAAGCCATATGTCTATATAATAAAAAAAATAATTATTATTAAGGTTCACAATGATTCATGGTAATATTCTTACAAATATTGTAGTAAATACCAGTGGGCAACCAATCAGAAGACTTTCAAACTACTTACAGGGTTGTGTAAAAAGGTGTGCTGACTTTATTATTTTAAACTATCTAGAGGGCGATTAACTAGAAGAAAGTGAGTATGTTGGTATTTGAGAACCACTATGATCATTAGGGATACATGTGCAATCCTTCAAATGTTATGTATAACATTACCAGCTGATATGTCCATATTTTGTTTATCTTCTTCTAACTTCCTTATTTTTTCCTCTAGTTCTTGCTTCATACTTTCCATTAGAGCCAGCTTTTCACTCTGCAATAAGAAAGCAAATAGATAAGTAATTAGGAGGGAACTTTCTTTGCAGAGAACCTCAATCATTAGTGCAGTGTTTCCATCATAAAGGGACCAGTACCACCCATGGGATTTTTAGAATGGTGTACAACTACAAAGGAGAACTAGATGAGATCTTGATGAAACTTATTTTGTAAACTTGACTCACCTCAAAGTGCTGAATGGCTGCTTGTTCATCTGCGTCATATTTGTGTTTCACATTCCCTAACTGAAACAACAATTTCATCCAGTGAAGAAAGAAAGCAAACATTGTCAACAGGTTATTACAAAAATGTTTATTGGAAGCACATGACTATGTTAGATGCTTTCAACAGTTTTCATAGCAAGTAGCAAGTAGTTTAAACAGAAATAATACACAACCTGCAACAATCTGGTTAATACAAATTATTTACTGAAGGAGTGAGTTTTGACAAAATGTTTTTTTGATAGCCTTGCAATCATGTAGTAGTGAAAATAAGCAGGAATTTCACATTGATAGATAAAAAGCCTTCAAGGACCTTATTTCATGTGCCAATTCAGTTATTTCCAGTACAGTACTTTTGGGTTGGTCAAGAATGTGAGTTTCTATCAGGATTGAGAGTGAAAATTGGATGGCCTGTAAAGCTTGAGAGGCTCACATGCAAAGCAAGTGTGAATCCATGCTTTTGGTGCTAATTGAGTCTGTAATGAACCATTCTATGTATTAGAGAAACTACTGTTAGTAAGGTGCACTGTTTTGATGATCAGAGCAACATCATCACCAACAATGCACCCATTTCAGGTGTCTAAAAAATTGTGAATTTTAAGAACACAAATTTCCTGTAACCGGGTACTTTTAACCAAAAAATCTGATTATTACAACAGATTAATCCTATAACTGATACCAGATCATGCTGGAGCAATATTCTGGTCAATAAATAAAACTACAAACATGTACCCCATGAGGGTTTAGTTACTAACACAACTGAAAGAAACAATGGAGAACTGGACAGTTTATAATTTTCTTTAAATATTTCACAAAATAGTAAAAGTGTAAGTCAGAACTCCAGTAAGCCAATAACTCAAATCTTCGGTTCAACACAAAACTGATCGATTGATCACGGATACTGATTGGTTAAAATTGTGTGCAGAATATGTTGACAATCTACTAGTAGTTTAAGATAGGGCAGTGGAATTAAGATCTATGGGTAACAACAGACCAGAATTCAAAGGCTTGCCATGCTTGAATGTCTGTCTTTCGCTAGTTCGAATTATTAACCAGTCATGTGACAAGGGTCATTCCAAAATAAATTTACATCCTACTGTATGGTACTATACAGTCATTAGTCCAAGTTAACTGTTGTAATCAGTAGGTTTCAAGTCTCTGTGATCTTTTTTTTTCATGTCTTTCTGATCTTGTATTTTCCCTTCTGTAGCTGGCCTATATACAACTTTGTTTTAGATCCATCTCCTCTTCTTACCCAAACCTGAAAAAAAAGTGAATCAAAATGATTAGTCGGACAGTCAGTCCCAAACTAGTCCATTATTTAAAAGTGAAGATATAATTTCCATTTATCAGTTTACATGTCATCAATGATAACAGGAACATAACTAGTGTGTGTATGTCCAATATTATTCAAAAGCAACAATTGGCTGATGGATTAAATTTGAATCATCTACTGACTGCACCAGCACATTTTTACTGAGTGACAAAAAAGGGGGAAAAAACCTACCTCACCAGTGTTGATTCCAGTTACAAAAGCACTGAAATATAAAAAATAAAAATGTTCATAAATGTTTTTGACTTGTGAGGATACCAGTCTAGGAAAACTGCAAGAATCTTTACACAGAACTCTTAAAATTTCAAAACAGAATTTTTAATAATTATCTTGGAATAAAGATTACCCAAACCTGAAAAAAAAAGTAAATTAGTATAATAAATAATAATAAATATTATTACATTATTACAGTGTCAAGTACATGCACAAAAAAATTCTGCAACAAGCACAGAATGTACTGCAGTTTACACAACTAATATGATCTCAAGTTGCAGCAAATCAAAACAGGAAATAAAGATAAAGGTTCATCAAAAAATGTAAATTTGATAACAATTTTCAGAAGGAAGTGAAGTTCTGTTCAATAAAACTTTTTAGCTATACTTTGTTTTAACTAATCAGTCACACTTAAAGCCCTCTAGATACTACTCAGTCACACTTACAACAGCAAATATTGACTTGAAACTGCTAACAAGTAAAAATGAAGAAAAGACTTTCCACAGCTGACTCACAGCTGAGAAGACAGTAACATTTAATTTCTTACAAACCTGGAGTGGGTATCATTTCTGCTTTCTATCAGTATATGATCACCTTTGTGGAACCTTTGAGACAAAAGTGAATCAAAACACTCTAGATTAATGCAATTTCTCTATTTTGCAATGATATATTGTACTTAGTCTTGTGTTTTGAATGGGTAGAAAGACATTGCTGACACTAATAACTATTATTAACCTTAACCCTAACCCTTATTCATTCAGCTCTTGGTAAATAACAGTTCACTTTAGGCCACATACCACTCTCCTTCGTAATACAGTTTTCCATCTTCATATCTTGCACTAAAAGGACTATTCTCTAATTGGCAACCACCTACAGATACAAAAACAAAAGAAAAATTATAACACTATAAATAATAATAATACCATTATTGCATTTAGGGATATGAGAGAGCTAAAACAAGAAAGGAGAACATACTGATAGGATTAACTGTGTTACAGTTTCATCCCAGTGATCATATAGGAGGACAAAAGGTTCCCAAGGCTTTCGTTTGAAACACCCTCTCCAGCATAATTTCCAACAATTTTTTCTTGGCAAGAGTAAAGATAGAACAGCTATGAAGTTTGAACCAATAATTTAACCATGTCTTACTATTTTGCCTTCTTCTTGCCAAAGCTCCTTTGGCCTATGGAGAGTAAAAACAAAGAAATTGTTTGTAATTAATTTTAGCTTTTTAAACCTAAAACTGGTGATGAAATTGATCCAACTACACATATACCTTTCTGATAGCTGCCCAGTCTTCAAGAATGTCCATTTCTCTTAACATATAAACAATATATGGACTTACACATGGTCAAGGAAATATACTACCACATAAGTTTTTTCTGTTTATCATATGTCATAACCTGAAGGCTGACAACACCAGGGAGCTGCACAAAGAGAAGTCGGGAATATAGTACATCAAGTAGTATGCTGAGTGTGTCTTGCATAAAAGATTTGGGACCAACCTACATGTATCAGTTTTGTACCTTAGAAAACAAATTGGAGTGTAGTAATGGTAAGGAACAGATGTCCGTATTATACAGTAACTCAAAGGAATAAACAGAAAATACTGGAGAAAAAGGATATCTGTAACTGTGACTGGCTTCCTTCTTTTATCAGAAATCATTGATCCATCAGATGATTTTCTGTGTTTCTTGTTCAGTGACTGTGACTCAAGCCATATGTCTATATAATAAAAAAAATAATTATTATTAAGGTTCACAATGATTCATGGTAATATTCTTACAAATATTGTAGTAAATACCAGTGGGCAACCAATCAGAAGACTTTCAAACTACTTACAGGGTTGTGTAAAAAGGTGTGCTGACTTTATTATTTTAAACTATCTAGAGGGCGATTAACTAGAAGAAAGTGAGTATGTTGGTATTTGAGAACCACTATGATCATTAGGGATACATGTGCAATCCTTCAAATGTTATGTATAACATTACCAGCTGATATGTCCATATTTTGTTTATCTTCTTCTAACTTCCTTATTTTTTCCTCTAGTTCTTGCTTCATACTTTCCATTAGAGCCAGCTTTTCACTCTGCAGTAAGAAAGCAAATAGATAAGTAATTAGGAGGGAACTTTCTTTGCCTCAATCATTAGTGCAGTGTTTCCATCATAAAGGGACCAGTACCACCCATGGGATTTTTAGAATGGTGTACAACTACAAAGGAGAACTAGATGAGATCTTGATGAAACTTATTTTGTAAACTTGACTCACCTCAAAGTGCTGAATGGCTGCTTGTTCATCTGCGTCATATTTGTGTTTCACATTCCCTAACTGAAACAACAATTTCACACAGCTTGTTGAAAAAGAAAAATGAATAACACAATGTTTCAGAGAAAAGAATCCATCTCTATCTGCAGTGTATCTTCACCAAATTTCAGTGATCCACAAAATAACAATGCCACTTAAAATGTAAAAATATTTTAACACGGCATTTAAAACTTACATGTATCTAGTGCAGTATACTGATTTGGTGACAGCACAATAGGATTAAATGGCTGCCTTCCGAGACCAATGTACCTTATCCAAGAGAACTCTTGATTGTCTTTTGAACAAGGAAGTAAGCTATAACTCACCCTGCAGTCACGTAAAATCCCGGCCACTTCTATTCTTATCTCACACATTTCCTTAAGCTCATTTACTGGTCCTGTATACTCCATAGCACATTCTGTAATAAGAGACAAATTACGACAGGAATTATTAATCAAGCTCTGCTTGTTATTGAAAAAAGTTTAATTCCTAGCAGAGGGACATATCAACCAACATAACTGTAGGAACATCTGCTACAAACCAGCCAATTGATTGACACCATTGATTTTGAATTATTAGTATTATTATTATTATTATTAGTAGTAGTAGTAGTAGTAGTAGTAGTAGTAGTAGTAGTAGTAGTAGTAGTAGTAAAACTTTATTTCAGTGTCAAGCATTCTATCATTGTATCTATTGTTGACATAATAGATGATATCCGCCCAAATCTTGTGGTTATTGACAAGGCTAATCAAGAGGATAAATTGAAAAGCGAATTTGCCGACAGCCAGGTCTTATTGAAAACCCTGGTAAGGGGGTGGACGTTGGGGCGGAGCTTTCCCATATAAAACTTTGTTAAGTACGCCCCACCTCCCGACAGGGAAAGCAAGGTCAGGGGACTGAATGACTTAACAGCCACCTACCCCTGCCCACCCTAGAGAAAACTAAATTTACATTCTGCACTTGCCTGCAGTAACTTCGCCTAGCTTCTTTTCAACTTGGCTAATGCGCTCTCGGTAAAGCCTGAAAAAAAAATTGTAAATTGAAGAAGAAAATTGCATATCGCCTGACAGAATGGATTAAAGTATTAGAATTATATGAAATGTTGATACTAACTGCTCTTTGAGGTCGCTAAACTGTCTTTCCAAGTCAGCCATATCGTTCAGACACTCATTTCTTCTTCTCTCATTCTCTGTCTCGTCAACTAAATAAAAAAGAATCATTAAGACCATACTAAAACTAACAGGAAGGCAGACGAAATTATGAGACGAAAAAAAAAGCGCGGAAAATTGAAAACACTAACTGCTCGACTCGGAGGATGACTCGTCCGAGCTCAAGCTACTCTCTTCATCCTCGTCTTCACTCATGTTTTCGTCCTCATTAGGACTTCTCTCTACCTCCTCCTCGCCATTTTCTTCACCTTCGACGGAAGGCATACCTAAAATTTCACGTTTTTGGTGGAAAACACCAAAGAAATTACTCAGAAAACAGGGGTCGGCAGGACTGAAAACTAACAAAATAACACAGCGGCCAAAACATATCTTGCCATGCGTTAAGCTCATTTCTGCATGTAAGTTATCATCAAATGTCTACAACTTTTTGTTGGTACGTCACAGGAAATCGTCCCATCATCCCTTGCATCTTAAAAACATAATCATAATGGCGTTCAAGGAAGTTCTTTTGTCGCTCAGTATTTGCTTTTTGCACTTGGGAGGTGCCACTTCGTGCACCTTTACTTCTGACTGTGGGTTTTCAGAGACGTGCTGTTCAGATGGGGTCTGTAGACAACGTTGTGTCTGTTCCTACGATTGGCAGTGCAGTACGGGGGAATGCTGCAAAAGTTCCAGGTGCAAGAAGAAATGTTCAGACGGCGGCTGCAGAGAATACTGTTACTGGTGCTCGTACAGTTCACAGTGTGATACCGGAGAATGCTGTCACAGTAGCGACTGCAAAAAGACATGCACCGACGGTGGTTGTCGAAAAAACTGTTTATCGTGCTCGTACAATTCGGACTGTGATTCTGGAGAGTGCTGTGACTCGGATTCTACCTGTAAGAGCGTTTGTTCCCATAGCCTCACTGGGGCAGCCATTGGAGGCATTGTCTTTGGCTGTTTGGTTCTCGCTGCCATTGTGATTTCCATACTGGCTTGCTGCTGCTGTGCTTGTTGCCCGTATTATCGTCATCGTCACCACCCAGGAACAGTTTTAGTCACACAACCTATGGGTGCGACAGTCACTGCAACAACAACA